TCTTTCCTGTATAGACCCTGCCTAAAGTATCCTCTGGGGGCCCTATCAGTGGGACCCTGTGGACTTATCTGGTGGTGGCGGCAGCAAGGGTGAGCAGAGGGGCAGGGGCAGAGAAGTGCTCCAGTCAATGGCAGGAAGGAGACACCATGTAAATTTCCCAGAGTGCTGTTAATGTGGCATTGTACTGCGGGATTGTGGGGAATAAAATGGCAGGCTGCTCAAGCTAAACCAAACCGCTTAGTGTGAAGTGGGCAAGGTTGGGTGCAAGTACTGGTGGGCTTGCAACCAGTAGTAGTGGGCATCTGCTTTAGGCCAGATACGCACTCACCAGTTCACTCACCAATTTGCAGATGACCTGTTGATAATACACACATTAAAAATTTTATCAGAAAATGAAACTGGCAGCAGAGTAAGCAGAAACCCCAAGTTTCTTCTAGAATGACCTCCTTTTGGAGATCTGACAGGCATCTGTGGTGCTGAGGTCCTACTGGTTGGTAAGAATGTACCTACTCATTCAGGTATTTCCAGGCACTGATCCGTAATACTGGTTCTACTGAGCTTGGACGTTTTGTAATACATTTATTGTTGCATTATTTGCTGCATTATTTTACTCTGTATACCACCTAATGCTGATTTATTTATGTGGTCCATAAATAAACTGTAGTAGTAATAACAATTTTAATGTAAACAATATTACAAACACAGTAGAGGCATTCAGAAAGAAACTGGACAGTCATCTGAGCAGGATAGTGTAAATTGGTGTCTTGCAACAGCGAGGGGCTGGACCTGATGGCCTTCATGGCCCCTTCCAAGTCTAGTATTCTATGATTCTAATTGATACATCCATGCATTCCATTAAGCCACCAGTGTAAGTATTAAAATTAATTTCCACAGTTGGGCAATACTTTAAGTAGGACCAGTGCTTTTTTTTGTAAGAAAAAGGGTGCCGGAACTCATGAAATTATTCACCTTTCGCACATAGTCAATCACTGTACACACCCACACACGTCAGTTGTGTAATGAAACATAACGGTCGCCGTCCGCGGTAAGCACTCACCTCGCAACGACACAACCAATCACAAGCTGAGCAGCGCCGTCACAACCAGGGCAGACAAAGTACGCATTCATCAGATTTGACACGCAAGTAGCCCGCATGCACCATTTTAATGATTTTGCCGCCGACCTGCTATGCTTAACAGGGTGATTCAAATCCACATGGACCAAACATCAAATTTTCAACAGTTACTTTTAAAACTTGGAAAATCTGTTGAAAAAAGGTGCCGGAACTCCGTTCCTGTGTGTTCTATGACAAAAAAAGCACTGAGCAGGACCAACTGGAATTGCAAAATATTCCACAGAGACATGTAAGGGGTTTTGGGATAGAATTATGAATTTTGCCCCCTCCTTATCATAGACTAGCGCAACTATTGTTTTGTGTGTGCGCAATGAAAGGGTGCAAATCTGATACTTTTCCCCATTGTGTTAGAAATAGGACTAAAGCACTGAACAGCACAGTTATAACAGTCCAGGGACATAAGAACTGCCAAGGTGGCGTGGTGGCTAGATTGCCGGACTGGGGACCTGTCCACTTTCCACATGGCCATGAAGCTCATTTGTTGTCTATGGACCAGCCACACACTTTCAATCAAATCTACTTTGCAGGGTTGTTGTTACCTGGACAAAATGGCATGGAGGAGGACTATGGAAGCTGCCTTTGGTTTTTCCTGAGGGGTGAAAAGGAGGGATATAAAGGAAATGTAATACTAATGATGGTGTTAATTGCTGCTTTGTCACTTGTTTTTTTAATGGGGAGTTTTCCATGTCAACTGATAGTTTTGTGGAGAATGTAAATCTCCCAGTTGTTCTATTGCACAGTGAAACACATCACAGATCACACTGGAATTATGCACAGGGATCCTGCAGCTGCTAGATGCTACTAGATGATTTTAGTATTATTTAGTCCCAGCTCCAACCTTGGAAATTCACTCTAAAGTGAGAGCTCAGACTCCAGGCATGGAGGCTTCTGTCCACTCTTGCAGCTGGACAGATCTGTCCTGGCCTCTCTCTGAGTTGTTACTGGGGAGGCATTCTGGAGGCACGGAGGCTAGGAGTGCAGCTCTGCAGAAATGTGGCATACCCCATGGCACCTGAGGTACTAATCCTTGCAAGCAGTTGCAGAAGACTTGGACATCTGCAGTCTAGGGTGTCCATGATCCTCTGAGTTCAGGCAGTCACATCAGATTGTGTTATTTGCAAGTTTGAGGATTTATGGAAGTGATATATTTGTATTCCACCTTTTCCAAAAGGAATTTGATCTGCTATTAGTATAATCTTTGTTCTGTGTAGATCCCTTTGTTCCATGTTAACAGTTGTTAACAAAGACATAAACCATAGTTTAATGCAATCATAGTTTACAGGTTTTTATTGTATTTCTCGAAATATGTATATCATACCTTTCCATAAAATGGTCAAGGTGACTTAGAAAGATATCATCACCCATGTAATATGATCAATATGGTTTGGTTGTAATATCAGATGAAAAAACAGGACAGTAAAATGTGAGAAGATAATTGGGTAAAATGGACACCTTTGGAATGGATCTCTTTGGCAGGACAGATTCCAGCTTCCTCCTGAATTGCCCCACATCACACCCCAACTACTTTGGTGGTCTTGGGGACATTCTGAAATAGATTTGGGAGGATATACAGCAGGAGGGCAGGGAGGAAATGCCCACTATGGAGGTAGATGTTTGTGTACAGGGTGTTGGATGCCATCCATGGAGTAAAATGATCTAAGAGCTTGCAGAAATAAACATGTGGTTACAACATACGTATCTAACAACAGAGTAGAGGAAGCTGGAGGAATATCTCCAGGTTGGCATTCCAGAGTTTTCTTTGGGGCCAGTGAGGGTTCCTCTAACTTTCCTCCTTTGACATCCCGCACAAGCAGCTGAAGTGCATGGTCCATCTTAATATATGAACCCCACCAGAAAGAGGTGAAAAAAGAGAAGGAAGGAAGGAAGGGGGGAGGGGAAAGAAAATGACATGGAATGGGAGGAAAAGGAAGTGGAATAAAGAAAGGCAAATAGATAGGAAGGAAGAAAATGCTAGACCAGGGGTCTCAAACTCAACTTACCTGGGGGCCGCTGGAAGTAGAGTCTGGGTGAGGCTGGGCTGCATCAAGCGGTGGTGGTGGGCCGCTCATCCCGCGTCGCTCCCGGAGGCCGGCCCGGGCGCCACCGGCGCTTTGAAGGCCGCAGGGCCCCTCCCCCGTGCCCCACCCGTCCCGGCAATTGGCCCGCGGGCCGCGAGTTTGAGACCCCTGTGCTAGAGTAAAAGAACAAAATGAAAGGAGTCAGGAAGGGAAAAGGAAAAAAGGGAAGAAATTTGAAGGTGTTTGAAAAGGATGGGGACATAGGTAGAGGATTTTCTTCTCCCTTAATTTGCTAATTATATTATTTGAACATTTTGAGGTGATGGTGCGTACTTATACAGTTCCCCCATTCTGCCCTGGGCTTAGGATCCAGGTCCCTGCTTCCAGAATGATTTTTCTGTAGGCTGTGGTGATCTCCTGATGCATTCTTCTAAGTACATTCTTCATCCCCGGAGGAAAGCAGGGTGTTTTTGTACAATGGTTGGATTTACATGGCATCAGTTTTTTTAAAATGAAATGATATGGTAGCCATATAAATTGTGAATATGTCACCCTAAACACTAGAACAATGGAAGCTAATGGTAAGTAAAGGGAAATGTGACAAAAAAATACAAATTATGCATGGGATGGAGAAAGTAGATAGACATTCTTCTCTCTCATAATCTAGAACCTGGGTCATGCCATGAAGCAGATTGGTGGGACATTCAGGACAGATAAAAGAAAGCACTCACACAACCCATAGTTAACCTATGGAATTCACTTCCACAAGATGTAGTGTGTTGAACACTAGACTATGCTATTTGTCCACTATGGCTCTAAAAGGAGATTGAACAAATTCCTGGAGGATAGTGTTATCAGTGGCTACTAGTTCTGACTGCTGTATGTTACCTTCAGTATCAGGGACACTATGTCTATGCACATCATTAGTTGGGGCACATGGGCAAGAGGGTGCTACTTCATTCATGTTGTCCTTGTGGGTTTTCTGTGAACAGCTGGTTGACCTCTGGCTTTTTTTATTTGTTAGAGTATTTCAAACTGATAACTCAGATTTATCTGAGTTACCTAAACTAGTTTCCAAGATTGCACTATTACTGCTTGAATATGTTAAAATTATACTGAAACTATTTAGGAATTTCACAATAATAAACTTTTTGAGATTCAGGTTTTACAGGAAGAGTTGTGCCTTGTTTACATAATGTTTCAGATTAAAAACCATCAAAATCATTACAGAAGTCCTTTTGACTCTATATAAATATCACTGTTGAGAAACTGTATTTCTTCATCAGTGTTTCAGTGAAACTTTTTTCTAGAAAAACAAAATGCTCAAAGGCCTATTGATGAAAATGGCTCAGGATTCCAACCACAACTTTCTGGTAAACACTTGCATTTGTGCAAACATTTCATAACAGTGTGTAACTTCATATCTTTCCTATTCCTGTTCATATTTTTCCTATTTTGGTTTACTGGTTCTACTTGGTACACTCCATACGTTTTGGATTAAAACTCCAATAAACTCCAATCAGCATGCCCAAACTTTTGGAAAATACCATGTTGCCATTTCTGTTGCAGTCACTTGGAAGTTGGCACTCAACCCTCGTGTCCTTCCAAGTTTAGTATCCATCTGATTCTTTTCATTTGTGAAGAAAGCAGAAGATGCACAGAGCTCTAACCCCTTGTAGCAGAAACGGCTTTTCCCCAGACGCCTTCCTAAACACCATCTTACTTTATGTTGTCAGTGGTGCTGTTCTTGAAATATGGAGCGTGATGCTCAAAAGAGTGATGTGAGGGTTCTGTGCTGCAGGCATCTTCATCTCCTTCCTCGATACAACCTTCTTATTCTGTTTCAGTGCCTGTCTGCTGAGGACATCTTTTCACTCCATGGAATGTCAAACAGCAGCAAGATCACTGAGTCGGGCTTCTCCACAATATGTCCTGCTATTGTGCAACAACTGATTTTCCATCCTTGTGAAAAATCCTTGCCCAGAAGCAATTCCAAACCATCAAGCACTGAAGGTAGCTCTCATCAGTACTTGCATAGCCATGAGATTAATTATATCCTATGATTATGTATTTTCATCAGTCTGTGGTTCAGTATTGCTCTATACAATGGGGCCTCATGCCAAGGCCTTGCTGGTGGACTACTAGTTTTTATCAGTGAGTGATTTTGTGTGGATCAGGAGATGCAGGAGGAAACTGCTTTATAGAAGTTCTGTCTAATTATCATTTTGCTCAATGTTTTCTGCTCTGGCTAGAAGTGGCTCCTGGGGGTCTCAGACAGAGATCTGCTGAAGATTTTCTGCCTGAATCTTCTAATTGGAGATGCCTAGAACCATTTACGTGCACAACCTGATAGTGTAATGAGGCAGCACCAAAGGCGTGGTAGTTGCAGATTCTACAACATGCGGGTGTCTGGCTGCTCAGTGCAGTTGCATGGAAGAGTTGGACTTGCTCACCTTCTAGGAGGTCATCAGGTGGCAGCAGAAGTGCCAGAGCTGCTATTTTAGCACCTGGTTCCTAGATGAAGAGCAGGGCCTAGCATGGGCTCATGACCTAATGCCCCATAAAAAGAGCCATGCAGAAACGAAGACCTACTTAGTCCAGCATTCTGCTCCCACAGTCACCAACTAAATGCCTGTGAGAAGCTCACCAACATGACCTGAATGCAACACCACCCATCTGCCTGTGTCCCAGGTTCCTTGTATACAGAAGTACACTGCTTCTGGCACTGAAGATAATATATCCAGAATGACTGGTAGCCACTGATAGCCTTATTCTTCATGGCTATACAAGTTGGTTGCCATCATGTCAAAAAATGAGATGTTCTTTGAATCAAAGACTGAAATTATGAGTCCCAGTCTTTTAATTCCAACGAAACTTCCCACCGCCTTCCTGCCAGGAAGAGAAAAGAAGCCTTAGAGTGGCCAGTTAAAAATACCTGATCTCAATGAGAGACCAAGTAATGTTTCAAACACTGATAGCCCAGTTCATACACTGCTATCATCACATTGGAGTTTGCCGTGGGGTAGAACAGAACTGTTGCTGTGTGCACATGATTTTTTAAATTCAAGATTGAATCATCTAGATTAGCTACCACCCACTTTTTCTGTAGTCCAAATAAGTGATGTGTAGAATCCATTCATTATTTGTAATGATACTCTGCAAGAAAGGTGGCTGGGAGGATCAGCCTTGATCCATACGATTATGTGGTGAACCATTTTGTGCGTGGACTCTGCTTCTCTTGCACTGAATTGGGTATATTCCTGTCTAATAATACACCTGGTTCACTGTGGCTGGCTGAAATATAGTTGGCCTGAAATCCTAATGCATGCTGGATCCATTCTTGTGGTTCATATCCACATAGACCAGGTTTGCACTATCACCAGGGAAAAGAATGCACAGCAACGTTTTTTCGCTGTGTGAGCTCATTTTGCACTGTGTAATTTGCTTAATCATCCCCACAACCTGTGGGCTGCCATAAACCCACAAGATGCATGGTGGAGACTGACTTCAAGACACCTACAACAAGCCATGGGACTGGGAGTGTTTTGGAAGCCAACTTTACCATGCACTTTGCCAGGCTCAGAAGACATGGCAACCTGCATGCCACAAGGGTAATTTGGTAAATCAGAGTTCATGACTGGTACATGTAGGGTGCGGAAAAGAAATGACCATAGAATAGTAGAGTTGGAAGGGACCATGAAGGTCATCTGGTCGAACTCCCTGCTGTTGCTGGACTTCCTTAACCAGGAGATTCTTAGGTTCCTTAACCAGAACCCAACCAAAGATTTCTACTATAACAATACTCTACCTCTGAGTGAAGTGAATCTTTCCATAATGACAGGTTCACAAAGAATGTCAAATTGACACAGGTATTAATGAATAACAGTTTTTTTCTGGTACAGCTCTGGTTAAAGTTACAGGTTAATTATAGATTATAGTAGTTTTCCCCTACCTATCATCACCACCACCACCACCACTAATAATATTGCTATTCCTATTACAATTCCTATTAATAATATTCCTATTCCTATTACATCATTACTAATAATTTTTCCTGTTTTCAGTACTGGAACTCAATACGGCTTACAAATTATACAGTTGTTAATAAAAATGTACAAAGTTAAAAAATATAATTAAATCAGCTACAATATGTAACATACTTAAATTAAAATAATAAATACATTATAGACTGTTATTACTATTATCCCTGTCCCTGCAAAATCTGTTTGATCAGTGAAAAATAAGCATGTGCACATAGAAATAAAGGCACTGCTACTACACTTCCTCCAAGTCTCTGAAAAGCTATTGTTTACCACTTTAAAATTTGGATTGGATATATTAAATCATTCACTGGAGCATCCTATCAATTGAATTTTTTTTCATAAATTCCCCATCACTTGTTATAAATGGGTTGTTATTAAATAGTGCAAGAAAATGCACATTTGCTTCCTTTTTAAAAGACATGCACTTCATATGTCATGCAGTTCTGTGAATGTTTACTTGGATGCAAATCCCAGTGAGTTAAGTGGAATCTTGTTGTTATTCACGAAGTCATGTTCGACCCATCCCAACCCCATGGACAACATTCCTCCAGGCCTTCCTGTCCTCCACCATCCCCCGGAGTCCACCCAAGCTCACACCAACTGCTTCAGTGACTCCATCCAGCCGCTTCATCCTCTGCCGTCCCCTTCTTCTTTTGCCATCTATTGTTCCCAGCATTAGGCTCTTCTCCAGTGAGTCCTTCCTTCTCATTAGGTGGCCAAAGTATTTCAGTTCCATCTTCAGTATCTGGCCTTCTGAAGAGCAGTCAGGGTTGATCTCTAGGACTGATCTCCAAGGGACTTGCAGGAGTCTTCTCCAGTATAAGTGGAATCTACTACCCAATAATTCTGGGTCAAACCACTGCCATAGTAATCCTGTTGCATGTTTCCATGCCATGTTACTGGTGACATGCCTTCTGCAGAGTATTTTCTTGCAGATTTTAATAAACAGAATAAACTCTGCCATTTTCTCAGGGTTTTCCCCTGTCTTCTCCATTTATTTCATCCCCACCTTTTCATTCAGACCACATTCACTGCATCTATGCAATTTCATTATTTTTGATTATGTGTCTCATGCCACTTCTTCTTGGTTTTCTCCACCTCTTTGAGAGCTAAACTAGTTCTCTAGTCACATAGTTTGCTTTTCCATTTCCGAGCTTTCTTTAACCCTGGTGGGAGTCTGGGGAGGTTGGATTGGGATATGGTATGGGGGTGAGTAGCCTTACCCTCTGTCCTGTCCATAATTATGACAGAATTGTTTTCCCTGCCTCACAGCTGTTTTAACACATTTATGCTTTTTCAAATTAATTTTTAATTCTTGTTAATTTTTGATCTACTGCATTTTTGTATGTAATTGTTTTTACCCCTTGTTTTCAACCACTCAGAGATCTTTGGCTATGGGCAGTATAGTAGTAGTAGTGGTAGTAATAATAATAATTTTATTATTATTGCAACAATAGACAGCTCCTCTTGGAGGATGTAGGATTTTTCTTCCCTTTTGAAAGCTGCAGATGACAAGACATGTTCCTGTTCGGGACCATGCTGGAGACAAAGGCTTAATGGCTCCCTCCTCTGCCTTATGCTGTGGTCCAGCTCTGGTTTTCCTTCCCCCAGTGCCAGGCATTAGTTAAAGAAAAATAAAACTACACAGGGGCAAGGTATGTGGCAAATACTTTGCCTAGCTGAGCACTCATCTTCTGCATTAAGTTGTCACCATATCAGTGTGATCTAGTTTGGTCAGAATTCTTTGAACACAAGGCTGCCTCTGATTACTGTTAGGCAGGCAGGAGGAGGAGAATTATGTAATCCACTTGGAATTCTTTGTATGAAAAAGACAGGGTATAAATCTAATAAATAAATACATACATACATACATACATACATACATAAATAATACTGCTTAGGAAATGTTGGACAATCTAAAATAGCATGTAGAAAGAAGTGCTTTATATTTTAATTTGGGGTACAATGTGGTATTTTATGGCTTTAGGACAGAAAATGTAAATACATCTTCTGCCACAATGTTAACATATAATCCATTTAGTACCATGTAGCACTTTACACATATAATGGTACTATTCTTGTGTTTTGCAACATGATGCTTCTAGGTGAAATTGCCTCAACAAATCCTGTTTCTCTACAATCAGAGAGCTATACCAAGGATCTATTTTTGGTCTTCTTCTATAGTCAGTTCATTTTAAAATAATTGGCACAAACACAATTTCCTTATTTTGGTTTTTGACATCAGTATGTCTTGAATATTATGCTCTGATTTCAGTGATACTGCAATTAGAGCAGCAAACTTTTTCTTGAGATCAGTTTACTGTTGAATAAATAAACCAACAAAAATCACATGGCTGTTTTAACATATCTAACATTTTAATGATTCTTTTTTCTTTTTGCAGTCTGGGGCTTTGGTTTCTTAGCTGTGACTATTATCAACTTTGCTGCACTTCTTGGATTGTTTTTAACTCCTCTCTTAAAGAAGGACTATTTCCCAAAGATTTTAACTTACTTTGTTGGCTTGGCCATTGGAACCCTCTTTTCTAATGCAATTTTTCAGCTCATTCCAGAGGTAAGGAAGAAAGGGATAAAGAGGGAAGAAAGGTGGTAGAACTGGAAATATGTTCCTACTGTGTTCTTTCCACTGACCAAGGCTAAAATGCACATCATCAAATGAATGTTTAAGAATACATGAGCCAATTCCTGCTTCCCACCCTTTTTCCACTGCTAAGCATTCAAGAAAGGGGGGCAATTGTGTTACACTGTTACCCTAAGAAAGTTGAATGATCTAGCTCACAGGTAGTTGAAGGATGCCAAGCTAGAGAGCATAAGACAATTTTGTAAATTGTTGTATACCTGCTTACAGTTCTGAGGTAAAATTCCAATGGTTTCCAATGCAATATACAGGCAGAGTACTGAGCAATGGTAATGGTACTGAGATGCGAAGGCCTGTTTCTCATTAACCGAGCAAACACTCTGTAGGCAGGAAGGTCACAGGTCCAATTCCCAGCATCTCTCAGTGGAATTGGGAAAGGCTATTGTTTGAAACCTTGCAATGCAATATAGTCAGTTTAGACAACTAAGAACTGTAATAGCCAAGGGACATTTTGTGTGTGAGTGTGAATTAAAACTGGATACCCACTTCACCTTGACATCTGAACTGGATTGCTTTTAGAGGGGTGTAAGAATAAGGGATGCCCTTTTCCAGTGTGTTTGTGCCTGAATCACCATTTTTAACATGCCTTTCGGAAATGTTCATGGATGAATGTTTTGCCTTTGGCAGGACTGATTCAAAACTAGCAAGTTCAGAGAGCCGCATTCATGTAGAAATAGGAGAAGCCTCTACTGTGGTAGATTATTCTAAATAAGTCTTGTTCAAATAAATTTTACATATGTTTATGCCTATCTGGGTGCAAGGTGAAATCAAGCTGAATGTATTGGGCAGATTTAATTAAAGGGTAGACGAGAAGAAATCTATCATACTATTTTCCAAACAAAGCACATAACATTTAGAGGAGGGGTCCTCAAACTTTTTGAACAGGGGCCAGTTGAAAGGTGCCAGCGATGGGCATGGGCCACCAAGGCGGTGCGGGTGGGGGGAGTGGGCCGGGGTGGGGACTTCTCGCAAGCAAGAACTATCTCCTTGCGAGGAAGACACTGCTGGGTGTGTGCATGGTGAGGCGCCGGCTTGCTTGCAAGGAGATCCTTTTCTCCAAGCAAGTCTAAACCGATCTCCTTGCGAGCAAGCCACTGCCTGGCCAAGTGTGCATGCTGTGAGTCCAAAACCTCTATGGTGGGCTGGTTAAATGGGCATGGCGGGCTGGATCCGGCCTGTGGGCCGTAGTTTGAGGACCCATGATTTAGGGTAACCTGGACTTACTATTAAATTTTCTTCCTAGGCATTTGGATTCGATCCAAAAGTAGATAACTACGTTGAAAAAGCAGTAGCTATTTTTGGTGGATTCTACATCCTCTTCTTTGTGGAAAGAGTTCTTAAAATGATACTGAAGACCTATAGTCAAGTGAGTAGATAGCAGGACATGAATTAAAAAGATGTTCAGATTCCCACTGTTTTTCCACTGTTAATGATCAGTACACTTTTGAAATACACAAAATTTAAGGTTTAAAACTAAGCCAAGATTTTAACCAAGAGCCAGAGCATAGGTTAAAGTTCTGATCCAGCCTAACATGTAGAAGAAAAGAGTGCAAACAACTCTTCCATACCCCATTTGCACATATTCCCTACATGTACACATAGGGATGGACCTTTTGAGCATGTAGTGTACAGTTTAGAAAATCACATGTATCATCTACTCAATTAAGGTAGTAAATCAACTATGTGGTTTCCACCTATGTGGATAACTACATATATAACTACAAAGTTGGCATTAGGGCATTCTGTCTCCATAGCTTTCAGCCTCTGTATGAAAAGACAGCACACTGGGCTGGCCCAGACTGCGGGAAACATGATCTGATCTGGATCAGGCCATTTTTAAAAAATCATGTAGTTTAATCATTAGATGTAAATATTTTACAATATTTTCCAAGTACTCGAACTTTAGGCAGTGTTTTTGTGATATTAATTAATTAATTAATTGATAGCTTTTCTACCCTGTCCATCACTAGCATTTTGGGACAGCTTACAATAAAAGGACATATGACCCATTAAGCTCATAGCAAGCCTAAAGGTTTTGGGTGGCACCAAAAAGCTGGGGGATGAGTCATCTATTTTTCAGGCCTTTTAAAGATAAAATTCTCAAGTGTCCCTTAATTATTTGTTTGCAAAAAATATTTTGGGGCAGAGAAGATTTAGGGGCATAGAAAACCTGGGGGGCAAGCCCCCCAGCCCTCCCCTGGGTACAGGCCTGTAAGCTGGTATCTACAACAGGTGGAAGTGAAGAAGAGTGTTCCATGGAGGTACTAAGCTATCTGTGGACCATTACAGATGTGCTGGATTTTTTATTTCCATCACCAAAGATTTGTGTCAGATTTCAAGGGAGAGAGCCTTTATTCAGTGCTAGGACATATGGTTTGTTTGCACAAGGTCTCTGATTACCAACCTTGGCACTTCCAGCCAGCTAGCAAGTGATGTGTAATGTCCCTGCCTGAGACCCTGGAAAGTTGCTTTCACCCAGAGCAAACAATACTAAACAACAACCTTAAATGGACAAATATTCTCATGGTACAAGGTTGTTTCCTGTATTACTAGTTCAGTAACATTAGCTGTCATTTCTCTCTTCTTTTGAGCCAGAATCTATTCAGACAACTTTTCTTCCTCTGAAATCCATCTGAATGCTGCTTCCTGTACTATTTTCATTTGGTTCTCTTCAGATAGGTAACAAACACTTTGAACCTGAAGAACTGAAACCTCCGGAAAGTCTTCCTCCTGTAGAATCATTCAAGCCCATTAATGGATCCGTGTGCTATGCCAACCCAGCTGTTGCTGAGGTTAATGGGACTCTGAGTTTCGATAATGTGAGCGTGATCTCTGGACAGGTAAGAGCAAACATATAACCAGTTCATGAGAACATATCCAAAACGGGTAAGAATCTGACATTGATATGATTGTTTGTATCATTTTTAAACCAACTTTCAGCACATAGTTCAGTCTAGCACTTCAGGTAAATTGCACGTTTACAAACAACAAGGAATGCATTATTACACGTAGAAGCTTTAGCAACTAAAATTTATTTTATTATTTTATTTATTAAAACATTTTTATGCCGCCCCATTCGCCGAAGCCTTAATTTACCTCTTGTCAAACTGATATTTATTTTCATATTAGCCTTCAATATTTTCCAAAGGTTCTGCTGTTTAGAACTTTTTTTTTATGCATCTCTTTTTATTGTATTGTTGGGAACTACCAAGAGAGCTTTGGGTATGGGATGGTATAGAAATTAATTAATTAAAACAGTAGCTTCCTGCATGTACAGATGGCACCTTTCCACAAATTGTACATCAATAAACTTGGATTTATGGCCTAAAAACACTTGGCAAGAAGGTGAAACCAGTGCTGGCCCTCAGAAGATTATCTCTATTACACATTGGATTAAATCCATTGAAATCAGTGGGAAATCAGTCACATAATCCCACAAAGACCCACATAAGTCTCAAGGGGTTCATGGGCCTACTCTAGGTATGAAGGTATCTGAATCTAATCCATTTTAGGTGGGTCCAATGCACCTAAAATGGTAAAGTCCTGCCTTTATACAGTTCGATCTATCTAATAGGGAGTTTTTATAAGGTTTCAAATGAATGGTTTGCATGAAGAACTGTAAGCCTTTTGCATGGAGCATTTCTTACCCTAATTTCTGTTCAGTGCCAAATCTCAGCCTCCCCTTACGGGCCTTTTCCTGCTGATATAAGCCAGCAGTGACTGGTGTCCCTATAACCCAGGGATAGTTTCCATTTCATTTCAGATCTCTGGTAAGGGTGTTTCTCTAATGGCCACCCATGCAGTGCGCAGGAAGAGAACGGGAAAGAAAAAGGGGTGGCAGAAAGAGAGAGCGGGCAACCCACCCACTTTTTATTCTGGCCTTGCCCCCCGTTGGCTTCAGTATTGTTCACCACCAGGATGAACTCCTGTTAGATTATGTGCCAGAGAATACAGCCTTTGGGAGAAAAAGCTTTCCCACACCTGATAGAAGCAATTGAAGGAGGACCACTCAGCTATTTTATACAGGCTGCAATAATTTCTAGCAGCCAATGAATAAAGGCTTGCTGAGCACATGACTTTTTGCTTTTGATAGATGGGCACAATTTCAATAGTAGAAATATATTTTAATGCCAGGTTCACCATCACGGAGAACCACCTAAGATTCTGCTTTGTTTTGATTTCCTGCCCCTCTTCCTCTTTCACTTACATATTGCCTTTCTTCCTCTTGCAAAGAACGCAAGGCAGCTTGCAAGGTTGTCCTCACCATTGTATCCTCCCAGCAACAGCCCTGTGAGGTAGGTCAGGTTGTAAGTCAGTAATTGCCCAAACTCAGCCAGAGAGTTCCATGGTCAGGTGGTGATTAAAACCCAGATCTTCTGACTCCTAGTCCAGCAGTATCAACCACTGTACCACATTGGCTTTCTCGACATAGGCTAAGATGTCATGTTGTACAGTAATTTCCTTACCTGTGGGGCAATATAGAAACCTGTGTTCTTTCCAATGAGGAGTTTATTTCCAGGCAAGAGAAATGGCATGAGTGAAAAGTTCCATTGTCTGAGTTTGTGCAATAAAAGTGTCACATGTGAAGCAACTGTATTTATAGCAAATAGAAGAACGCAAGGATAATCAAAGCAGTGCTAAGTGCTTAAAACTGACGTTCAAATCAGGGATCGCTCTGGTGCTGAGTCACTTGAAAGGCATGAGGTTTTGTAAGATGTTGGCATTTGTAGGTGGAGTCCCTGAGCCAATATATTCCAGGAAATGGAACAAAAGCCTGTTTGAAGACATGTGGCAGAATGAATGAGGAATGAGTAGGTAGACGGCTGAGGTGATTGTACCACTTCAGACTGCAAGTGGCAATCACTTTTCTGAATGCTTTCTGTGTCAGAACGAAAACTTCCTTCAAGAAGTTTTGAGTGTTCCCACAATAGAAAGTGAACTCAGTTTCATGTTCCCTGGTGTATGTGATTGTCTGCATGTATTTTTTAAATTAAAAAGAGGTTTTTAGAATGAATCCCCAGTAAAGTCCATCCAGTCCCGGTACTTGCTACCTGCGTAGACCAGCTGGCAGAGGCAGAATGTGCAAACTGGGAATTCTCACAGACCGCATCTGATCTTTCCTTTAGATACCGAAGTGGAAATTGCACCACTGTCAGAGAGGTGGGCTCTGCTCTTCTTGGGTTCCTGACAAATGCCAAACCACGCTTTCTCCAAAAACAGTTCTTTTTAATGAATGCCACACTCAGCAGCAAATCAGTGATAACTCATGTGTTGTCTACGAACTAGACAACACTCTAATAAATCCACTAGTGTAAGATTCTCCCTGTTTTGTGCTTTAGTATTTTTGGCCCAGTACGAATAGCATAACCTCAGCACTAAAACCTACCATTTTTTGCAATTGTGGGTTATCGTGCTAGTGTACACTGTGCAATTGTTTCCAAGTGGGAGTGGCTAAACACTCCCACTTGTGAGCCGCCCCGAGGCTTTGTTGCGATGGGGGCTGCATAGAAATGTTTTAAATAAATAAATAACAAACAAACGAACAAACAAACAGCCCAGGGATCCTCTGTCCCTGACTTGTTTAGCATTGTGTCTGAACCCAAACCTCTTGATTTCTCTGTATTGACAAGCCAGAGAAACAACCAGTGAAAAACCCATATGTCTGTTTTTGAACACCAGTGTGAGTGACTGGGCAGCATGCATGATCATGCTATCTTTTTCATGGCAATGCACAATTAAAGCATGCCATTGTCTGACAATCTCTACTGAGGACCACATTTTACAACAAAATGCAGCAAAAATAGCCAAAGGTTTCAAGGTAATGTAAGGGCTAACAAATGCATTGTGGTATAAGCTTTCATAGACTAAAGCCCATTCCATCATGAACTATTATGGAGCGTTTCAGGATATTATACAGTAGACGTGGTTGTAGCAGGGGTGGGGAAGTTTGTAAATAGCTAGGCCGCATCAGGAGCTGATGTGTCGCTTAATATCTTGAATGACTCTTGACAAGGGCACCAATAAATTGACTGTAGAGATCCCAGTTAGGGTCCAGGCTAATCCCGATAGAATAACCGTTGTTTTAATCTTTAGGGGTGGTAGGTAGCTTCTTTCCATGTCTTTTAGAGGCCAGAGCTGTTTGTTCAGATCCCTGTTAATGTCTTACTCAGCCACGTACAGTTAAATTCCAATCATAGCTGAAGCTGCAGCCTCTTGACATGTTTATCAAAAATTCATACTTGCTCAAGCAGGAAGACTGCAAAGTTTAATAATAAAAGGACAATGATATATCACCTACCCACTTGTAAGAACTTCAGGGAAAAGAAGTATTGTTTCACCAGTCTGAGAAAGAAGCTTTGTATTCTAGCAAATTCTTACAGGAATCCTTTGCAGTGCTCAGAGAGGTCAAAAAGGGCCCTAGAAAGAAACTGACACGTAATGTGAAAATCAAGCATATGAAGTCTTGTAAAGTCAATGGCTGCCTTTTCTTTTGAACTGCATGTGCTCTTATTCTGTCAGGTCCCTTCAAACCTGCTTCTCTGGAAATTTCACTTGCACAGATAGTATCACTCATACAACTTGCTTTTGTAAAGAGTGTGGTTTTATGATCCTGTTTGAAAGCAAGTTGAATAGCTTAGCGTTGGAGAATCCTGCATCCCTAATCCTTTTAAGAATAATTGGGATCTCTGTGAAGTACCATAATATGTTGCAGAGCTTTTCATTTTGGGGCATGGTTATGTCAGGATACGTGAAAATGTGCTTGCTATATTACTTTTTTAGATGAGTTGCTAGCTGAATGCAGCACCAGCAAAACCCCCCGTAGGCATAGCAGTTATGTGCTGTCAGCTTTTGTGCAGATCTGGGAAACACTGTGAAAATTGGATAAGACTAAGACAACCAGATGCAAAGAAGAACAGTGTTCCTACAGCATAATACTTTCAGAGAAACAGGGATTGCAGCATTGGAACTACAGCACTCGAACTTGTGGGATCAGCACTGCTTAGACCATCCTTCCCCAACCTTGTGGCTTCCAGACTTGTTTGGAATGCAACACCCAGAATTCCCAGTCAGTGGCCCTGCTGGATGGGAGTTCTGGGAGTTGCAGTCCAAATGCATCTGAAGGCCTGCCAGGTTCAACATGAGGAATGATGGAGGCATTCCTGCCTTTACCTTATTTAGCCTGACAGGTTCAGAGGTCTGTCTAGCCAACTTATCCTTCAGTGGCTGGAAACAGGCATGGATCCTATGTCTCTTCTCTTCTGTCTGCTCCTCTGTCCTCCCCACTCACTGTTGCTCCCCCCCCCCTTCTTCCTGAACCTCTTTGAAGATCACAGTTGTGCTCCTTGGAGTAGGAGCCATCCTAGAGCTTTCTGCAGCAGCTGCAAAGGTATAGGGGGCTTTGTGGAAAATCCATGCTTTTGGACTTCCTCTCCGCAGCCAAGATCCTAGCTGTTTCTATGGACTCAGGTTGGGGGAATCCATCACACCCTGTGGGCCCTGAGACACCTGCCCAGGGTCAGCAGGATTGCTCTGTAGGTCATGTACCACGAGAAAAGGGGCACTCACTATAATTCTCATTTCAGCAGAATTATTGAAGGAACAGAAGCCTTATCTTTCTTTGCATTTTGTTCCAAGAAATGTTATGTCCCGTATTTAATGTCAGAAGAAACAAATGAGCAGTGCTTAAGAGAGCCTTCATATTTCTTTTCTGGGTACCTCAGTACGTGCAGTGCAGGTTAAAAGCAAAAGTAGCAATCTTAATATTTTGTTCAGAGTTTAGCATAATTATATGAGGTAATCTGTTTCTCAACAGAGTTGACTTTTGTCTTTCTCCTTTAGGACTGTCACTTAGTTGAAGAGTAAAACAGAACAATGCAATTTGTGGAAACAATTTTGAATAATTCAAATACTGGCAAATGCCTGTGTCTTCCTTTCTGTTTGCGTAGGAAGAATATGTGTCATATCTGACAATGCTTATCAATGCTTTCCCTTTCCTTTTGTATCAGCATTACTCTTACTTTTACTGTTGTCCAGCAGAAACTGCAAGCAGAACTTTATGATGATTTTGATATTGCTGAACCGCAGTAGCATCATATTTTATTTTTCTCGGAGCAATGAGGACTTAGCTGGTGATTCTGAGACTTGAATTTTTGAGGATAGCAATTATAAAATCACTTGGCTGAAATATAATCTGCTTTGTATTCTCATTTACTGAGGTTGTTAATTTTGTTTATCGAATAACCTTTTCTCCAAATGTTCCTTTTCTCCCTTGTCCAAACTGATGGTATTCTTTGAAATTCAAGAAAATTTGTCCATGGGGAAGAGAAAGAAAAGCTCTGTACAAAGTGCATTCTTAAATAAGGTGGATCCAGATCATTCTTTCCCTCATTTTATTATGACACTTCTTGGCTATGTGTTTCATTTTACTTCCTAAATTTATAATATAATATTTCTTATATTTCTACTTTTTCTTTATAAACATTATGAATTCAACCCAGATTTAATCATACTTTGTGAAAACTCTTTGTAATTAGTGGGAGTTAAGTTAATCATGACCAAAAACTATTGCTTTACTCATGTGTAATAGGCTAGGCAGAAAAGGAGCACAACTCTCCCAAGAATCTCAGTCAGTTTTGTGTCAAAGCAAGGAAGTGAACCCCCTATTTTCCCAGTACAAGACTAGCATTCTATTGAACCCCAGTTGGAGTGACTTTGAAGTCACCATGATGTGGGAAACCATGAGAAACTAGATTGTATCTGAATGCTCCAACACAGTATGGACACCTACATCAACCACCTTGTACAAATAAGGTCTGGAAACTTTGGAAGCATACTTCATATGCTGAGCTTCTGTGGATAAGCATGATCCATTTGGACTCCAATGTGTGAAGAATGCCAAAAAAGGCACAATTATCTAAATCTGTCTACAGAACAACCTAGACCTTCTGCTCCTGTGCTTTTTCTACAGTATTTGCTCTCTGGAGAGATAGGGATGAAGTTAGGGTGCTTTTGGGATTTGCAGATGTGTCTTTCTGTGGTTTCTGCATTTCCTGGAATACATGAGAAAAATATTTTCTTCCTTGCAATCTTGTAACTGGTGCAAATCTCGTGTAACTGGTATGCATTTATTTTTGCAGAAGGAAGAAACCCAAAACAGCTCATGCAAATGTTTCAACGGACCTTCCTTGTCAGAGATTGGTACCATTGCTTGGATGATCACCCTCAGTGATGCGCTGCATAACTTCATTGATGGATTAGCCATTGGTGCTTCCTTTACACTGTCCCTGCTTCAGGGAATCAGCACATCCATAGCAATCTTGTGTGAAGAGTTTCCTCATGAATTGGGTAAGATGCTTCCCCATCAACTCAACTGGTTGGTATATTCATCCAAGATATGAGCAGGCAACCAAGTGCCCGACAGATGCCTGGAGTACAACTCCCACAAGCCCTGGCCAGAATTCCCACTGGTTAGGGATTATAAGTGGACTCCGAGGATGGTGGAGGCCAGGAAGGCCTGGAGGAATGTTGTCCATGGGGTCGTGATGGGTCAGACACGACTTTGCGACTAACAACAACAACAAGGCCAGAACAGCTATCTTGCATGCACTTGTCCGCTAGTGATCTCTGAGACATCTCATCATACAAGAGCAAACTTGAAAATGATCTGTAGCATTTAAGTGGAAGAACATTTTTCTTGCAAATGTTATTTTATATGCATTTAAACCCATGTGTGTATGTGGGATTATCATACCACTAAAACGTCATACTGCTGTAATTGCCCTTTTTCTTTTTCAGGGGATTTTGTCATCCTCCTTAATGCTGGAATGAGCACACGGCAGGCTTTGTTTTTCAATTTTCTGTCTGCATGTTCTTGCTATATTGGACTTGCTTTTGGCATCGTAGTGGGCAATAACTTTGCTCCGAACATCATCTTCGCAATAGCTGGAGGCATGTTCCTATACATTTCCCTGGCAGATATGGTAAGGCCGCACCGCATCTCGCACGTGGTGCACATGGGAATGCGGTGTTTTCAGGGCTGCGTTATAAGGACATATATTTGTGAGAGGAAGAGAGAGTGCAAACCGCAACCTCACTAGCAGGAAAGAATCTCTCTTGGGAATTAGTTATAGTGCTAGCAACACTCAGAAGGGTGCTCAGCTTTCCCTGGCGTTTGCACTTTGCACATCGGAATGAAATGGGGGTGGACATGTTTTTAGGCCCATGGGAATATTCAGAAATGTCAAACGCTCCAAAATGGTGCCATGAGGGGCGTGGCTAGTCACAAAAGGGAGGTAAGCTGCCCAAAAGACTGAGCACAGAACTGAGGTGAGATATGAGCCCCAACAGGCTGAAGGATTCTTTCTAGAATTGTATCAGGTTGTCTTTAGGAGTGGAATCCTCTTGATACACTGAGGGTTGAACTCTCTGAACTCACAGTTGTTGATACTAAAATAGAAATGCTCTTTCTCACCCCCACATCCACTAGCCAACTCATTCTCCCATCTCTCTTTTCACTATGTTCCCTCCCTCCCTCCCTCTCTTCCCTGCCCCACTGACGTTTTTAAAGTTATTTTGCAATTTATTCATTTACGTTTTTAAGTAGGAGCGTTAAGGCACCTCGGGAGGCACGAAGGAGGATGGCTGGGGATACATGTATGTCCGTGTGCAACACGTTGCCAAACTCTGGCGTCACGTCTTAGTTTTTCTTCCCTTTACTAGAACAGCAACTGTCCCCACCAAGTCGCTCAACTGCATTTGAAGCTTTGCCTATTTAAAAAGTGTTGCAGGACTTTGGTGGTGCACAAACATGTGGGGCTTATGAGATGAAAAATGTGAGGGAAATAAGGTGTTTATATGTACCTCTCTCTAGTGCGAGGGTGGGGGTGTTCTGCAGCATGTCCTGAGTGTAATTTCAAACCACACATTCCACTGCAACAGCTAGAGAGAAGAGCAATGATGGAAAAGGATAGGCAGGAAAAATCCAGTTAACTTGGTAGATATTCCACTGTGATTATTTATTGTGATACGTAGGCACCTCCACATTAGAGGAGGGAAGAACAGGCTACCACTAAGGTGAGTGTCTCTTCAAGGGGTCCTGCGCTACGCTTGTGCTTTCTTTTGTGGGGTGTAATGAGATGACATCTTTCAGGCTAAAGTGGAAATATAGCACTATTGATATCAATAGCACCGTTGATATCTATTAGGATTTGGCTCCATAAAGGGCAAAGGTACATCTAGGAAGCTACATCTTACCATCTGCCTACTGCTTATTTTAGACTAACCAGGCAACTCAAGGGTTGAGCCATGCATTATCATGTTGTCTGAACCCACCAAGATGACTGACCATGCAGGACAACCTACAATATACAATCCAGCAAGAAACCTGGGGTTTGGGGTTTGTCTGTGGTTAACAAACCATTGTTTGTTAGCACAGCTTGATTTAGACAGCACAATACATCGCATTTCAGCAACAACCCAGAACCTGTATTTAAGAGTTATCACATGGGTATGGGTCATCATATTTTCTGAAATCTATGTTTACACCCATCCCTGTGTAGTGGACTTAGCTACAATCCTTTGAGCTTAGCTGCACACCTCAAAGGAGATGGAGAAAAATTCATTTCTCAGAAACAGTATAATGTTGCGGGCTGCCCTCATTGTGATCCAAATAATGTTCAGGTGACTTGCTCTTACCTAGGCAATTAAGACCCTTAGCTTTTTAAAATCATATATCTAATACACAGACACCCAAAAGAAAGAGAAAGAGAGGTGGACCTCACCTTGGCTGTGTAGCTATGGGGACTGCCACAACAAGTGTCTGCACTTTAAACTTAACCACTCTACTAGTGGTTTGCACCCTGTTTTAAGCCTACTGTGGCACAATAGGTGATAGGTTTCTCTGTCTACTTTTCAATGTTTCTGTCTCTAGGTTTTTAAACCGGAACCATTCATGCTGTGTCTGAACAAAATATAAATAAAGTGTGTGAATGGTCAGTACAGATTCCTGCTTTTCTGCTGAATTCCACCCTGTTCCTCTCTTTCTAGAAACAGGTAGGATTTGTTAGAACTCTTGTTTCTCTTTTTTCACCTCTACACTTCTCTCATTTATGAGCCAATCCTTACCTCATGCAGGATGAGGCAACAGAATTCTAGGTTTGGAGCATGCAAGGAGGGATTCATAGCTCTGAATACTTGCTCATGGAAAAATGCTTTCTGCAGATAGTGAACTAGTACCTGATGAAGGAATCTTTAGTTAAAATCCTCTCTCTGCCTGGAGTCCTTGTCAACTGTACATAGGGAGCTTTTTATATGGAAGAATATCCAAGCATATTATCTCCCACCTGTTCTGAGGTGGTAAACAAGGCTGGACACCTGCCAAGAACCAAATCCTTGTAGGGAACCCACCACTCATGTTTTCCTCCTGGAGCTGCTCCTCATAATGCTTGCTGCTCCTTCTTTCCTCCCCTCTATGAATGTGCAAATTGTGGTTAAGAATGAAGCCAGTGTGGTGTAGTGCTTAAGAGCGTGGGACTGGGACTCAGACGACCTGGTTCTAGTCCCCGCTCAGCCCTGGAGCCAACTGGGTGACTTTGGGCCAGGCACAGACTCTCAGCCCAACCTATGTCACAGGGTTCTTGTGGGGATAAGATGGAGGAGGAGAATGATGTAAGCTGCCTTGAGCCCTTTGTAGGAAAAAAGGCAGGATATAAATGAATGAATGAATAAATAAATAAATGTGCAAGCTCTGTTTGCATGTTCTAGTCTCCATAGTCTCCATCTGGGTGATTCTGTGGATTGAGCTGAGAGGAAGAAGGCAGGCTGATGGGCATCAGTGTCAATGGCAAGGAGGAAATGGACTCATCCAGAGAGAGGGAGAGATCTACTGAGGGTATTTCCCCCAAAGTCCTGCAAAACCTCAAAGCAGAACTAGTGGTACTACCTGGTATTCTACCACCTCAGTGTGCAAGCTTATCATTCACATAAGGATGATATGATAAAGTGCAGATCAGTGATGACCTTCTAGATGTTTTATTCTGGAAGGTCACAGGTTCGCCACTTCTGGTGTAGTTAGTGTAGGTTTCAGAGCCAATCAGCTATGCCTCCAATGTGGAGACCACGATGTTTTCCATGGAGTGGAAATCTAGGTCACTGCTGAAAATTCTTTCTATTTTTTCACCAATTAGTGGTCTGAGTTCTGGGTCACTATCCTCTCCCATTGCTGGTAGGCTGATGCTTTGAAGAAAGACTCTCTTATTGGCTGCATGAAGAGACACTTCCCACACCTTCTCTAAAGCTATTTTCTGTCCTACTGTCAATATCAGAATTAACATCTATTGTTAAAATAGGAATCAAGCTCTAGCCAATAATGCCTGAGGAGAATGAGAAAGAAAGTAAGCATGAAGGAGAATTCATAAGGAACTTAAATACTGCTTTCTCCTGACTTGTTTGCATTCAGCGGTCCAAATCCTGAAACATGCAGAGAGCCCACACACCCAGCTAGCCTCAGCGGTCCTTAATCACACTTGTTCTCAGTCTGAGCAAACCAATTCATTTGGTCTTGAATGAATCATGCTCAGAGTAACTAAATGGTCCTACTGATTTCAATGGGCTTCCTCCAAGCATGACTAAGTCCGAATTCAGCCTAACATTTAGAGATGATCGCGTGCTATCCTGAGTTTCAAAGAGCATCAACCTAGATAAAGCTTATGCTGCAATTCTGGGCACATTTACTTAGGAGTAAGCACCACTGAACTCAGTGGGACTTACCGCTGAGTAAACCTACAAAGGATTGTGCTGCTACCCAAACCCAGTGAAGCTTTTAGATATTATGTACCACAACCTGCTGCAAGCAAAACTTTGCTTAGTTGCCTCATTGTCTGACCCATGATTATCATGTGTTGAGTGACTGATTCTGGTGAATAGTCCAGGGGAGGGCCTTGAATCTCAAAGGAATGATTAGCATGCTGAAGAGGGGACTTGACTCTTGATAGATTTCTTCTAGGAGGGGACACTCAGGAGCAGAGACAGTGTGCAATTCAGAGCATTACCCCTTGTATGGTCAGCCTCTCCCAAACTACTGTGAGAACAGCAAGAAACAGTAGAAGCTTAGAACTCACTGTAAGGATCAAAACAAGACATTATTTTAAATGCATGTCTCGCAGTTGCATCTTCTTTTCATTTTGACTCTAGAGTAGAGGCAGAGGACCTGATCTGGATTTCCAAAGCATCCCAAGTGCCAACGATCCTAGGGTCCTGCCCAGGTTAGGGCTCCTGTGTCTTCAAGAATAAAAATGATGATGTACCTGCTGGAGTAATGCTTGAAGTATTTACAATGATCTGTTTTGGCCTTAAGACTCAGTTACAATATCTCAGATGACTTACATTGAAGAAATTTGCTGGGTTGGTCAGTTAGCATCCAACATTCCCCACAAAAGCGCTGGATGTATTTACATAGGAAATATATGCAATTCTTGCTGACATCCTGCTAGATAGCCCTCTAATCAAACCTGGGAAAGTGATACAAAAGCAGAATGCCAGTGAGGGTGTAATTCTATGCAAGTTTAGGCAGAAAAAGGCCAAAACGTTGTAGGGTATTTCTCTGTCTAAACATGCATAGGATTGCACCCTGAGTAATCTATGGTGCCTGAAGGAGCTCTTAGCTGTTAATTGGCTTGCAGCGCCATCTGCTGGATGCTGGTGGGTCTGGCTAGAGATGAACCCCTTCACCACTCTTCTCATAAATCCAGGGACCAAGGAGACTTCCCTCCTAGCTAGGGATGATGATCTTCTCACTGCTAGCACTGGACATCCATGGAAGCTTCTTTGTTGCTTTCCATTGGTGCTTTGGAATGGACAGATGTTCACAACAGAGCACTACCCGTGAGGCCAAGACATGTTCATCCCCATCTCTTCATGGTTGCAGCTGCAACTTGCCTGCGGGCTGCATCTAGTGCCAGATTGAAAGCATGAGTGAAGAGCAAATAAGCTCCAAGGCCACTGCCAGAGCGACCAAACTTGCCAAAGCCGTCATATGATACACAAATCTGTTGGAAAAGGAAACTTAAAGCAAGCAACATCCCTACTACTCAGCTTTGCCTCTGTTAATTATACATAATTCCAGTGCTCACTATGGAACTAATTTTTTAAGCAGAATTTCATTCTACTTTTATTCTACTACATGACTGCTAATGGGCACTTGTGAAATGCAAATTCAAAAGAATGCACATTAATTAATGTAGACTAGTGCATTTGCAAAACTGTACATTATCCACATCAAAGCTTATCTAAAATAACACAGTTTCCCTCAACACCCCCAAATGAAAAATGATCTGTGATTCTGCAGAATTTGCATGACTCAGCAAATTCCAGTCTGATGTGGAATCCCAAAGTGAGAGTCATAGAATCCCAAATGCATTTGAATATGATGCAGATTGCTCTGACCTGTGATTATACCATGGACTTCCAGCACCAAGTACATTCACTAGTGAGGGGCAAGCCATCTTATACTAAACTGTGTGGGTATTTCAGAGCAAAAGACCTGTAATTGTTTGACGGAAACTTACCGTGATACACCTAGTGGTCTGCCCAGCCTGGAACTCCCATCAAGTGAGACAGCCACAGGGCTATCCAGCCGTTTTCTAGGTGGCTCTCATATGGCCCAAATTGTGGTGCATCAAAGAATATCGGATGGCTCTCTACCCCCCCCCCCCCCCCCCCGCCGCAATGGAAGGGGATGCAAGTCCCAGCCCATCCAAGCAGGGTTTCCTTTAAGGTCATGGCAATTTCTGCTCACTGGGCCTACCCCACCCAATTCTAGAGGAGTAAGCAAGCCTGTAAAACCCCTGAGATGAATAGTCCCCTTAAGTGCTTGAATATCCTTGTATGTCTTCAAATGCTTCAGCAAAGAGGACTGTTCTAATCTGACAGTGCAAAAATGAGGAAGTTGGTGCCAGTTGGGGTTCAGTGGGGAGTTCCTCGGTCTCAACAGGCACTGAATCGGACACTGAATTCTCTGCACCATGCAGCTTCATTTACATGGGGTCATGCAGCTTCATTTACATGGGGTCAAGATGCAGAAATGGGCTTCAAAAATGGGTTTGTTGTGAAGAAAGCAGCGCATGAGTTTGAGGGGAACCAAATTCAACATCTGTAGGGCTTGAACTAGGAAGATGGCATGGAAAGACTATGTGGATTATTAAATGGATAATGCGGGCCTGCCTGAATGCTCAGGTACAGACGGGAACAGGATCCATAATATCCATTTCTACCACTGGCAACCTGCAGCCTCTGCATAAGGTAGGCCTGGCATGAGAACTAGAAGCCTACCTGACCATCTGCCCTTGGCTCATCAAAAGAGCAGAGTAGCTTCCCTACTTAAGACTGTAGCTTCACAGCCCTGCTAGATTTCAGCTCAAGCCTCCAGTTCCAGGAACTGGACTAAGTGATCACAGGTTGGAAAGGTTTCATACCTCAGGGTAGCTTTGGGAACAGCTGCCCATGTCCCTGACTTGCCTTTGATAGGAAGAATCATTGTGCGTTAAAAAACAGACAAACAAAAAACACTTTTTATTCACTGCATTGTTAAGATGCATATTTTATTGCATAATAAAGATGGCTTAGTTTGTTACTCTTCTAAGGTTGGTTCAAGAGATCAGGATAGGAGAGGACTGCAACAATAGTCCTCTTCTGCCTGCATCCTTTTTATTCTGCAGCTTTAGAACACTTCATTTCACCCTTGAACATTCAATTGTGTTAGGAGAATATTGTGAGAATATTTTCAGGGAGCCAGTTTTTGTACTACTAAAGTTTCAGAAGGCTTTGAAAATGTTGAACTTGATCCTACCTAATCCTTGATAAGTAGCCAGCACAGCAATTTTGTTGATCTGTTTTTGTCAGCAGTTTGTGGAAGCTGACGTTTCTTCAGTGTCTTTGAATTAATTTCCAAGGAGAGCATGTTGCAATGATCAACTGCAAGGGTGTGTTTACCTGTCCAGTTAGAAAGGTCTCTCTGGGTGTTTTATTAGTTCTTTTAGCTTGCCATGATTTACTGTTGGGCTTTTTTTCTCTCAATCTTTCTGCACATGCTAATTGAGACCCTGTATAGCATAGTGAGGAACTGCAGGTGGCACAGTGGTTTCAACCGCTATGCTGCTGGGCTGGAAGATCGAAAGGTCGCCGGTTCGAATCTGCACAACGGGTTGAGCTCCTGTACTCTGTCCCAGCTCCTGCCAACCTTGCAGTTCGAAAGCATGCAAATGCAAGTAGATGAAAAGGTACTACTTCGGTGGGCAGGTAACAGCGTTCCGTGCACCTCGGTGTTTAGTCATGCTGGCCGCATGACCACAGAGACTGTCTACAGACAAATGCTGGCTCCCTCGGCTAGGAAATGGGGATGAGCACCGCCCCCTAGAGTCAGGCATGACTGGACTTAATGTCTAGGGGAAACCTTTACCTTTACCTTTTAACATGGTTAGGAAATTGCATTTGTCTTGGTTGCAGGTTCAAATCTTGGACAAATTTTCTTGCAAAAACATGTAGGAGACACTATAGTCTCATTAGGTTTCTGGAAATTACAGTAGTTTTAAAGGGCATATTTCAAGTTTGCATGACTTTAAAGAAGAAACAAGATGATAAACACTGTCAGGCATTATTATTTATATAGATTAAAGTAAGCAACTTGCTTTTCAGATGTTGTTGGACTGTAACTCCCATCAGCTCTAGCTGCATAGCCAGTAGTACAGGATAATGGGAGCTGCAGTCCGACTACACATGGAGGGTGTCATCCATTTTCAATGCATTCTTTTGTCTGAGGGTACAATCGTCTGCACTTTTAAAGGAAAAAAGTCCTACAGTTCCCAGTTTTCCCCAGTATATAAAGCAGAACTTAAGCACAGTAATTCTCCAAATTACTCACTCTACATTGTTTTTTAATAAACAAACTTACCACTGGCATCCACTTTTCACACTTACAGAAACATTTTACTTTTCTCAAGAGTCAAAGCAAAAGCAAAACTTCCTGTCTCTGTTCTCTGCTTCCTCTTACATGCTTACAAAGTTCATGTCATTCTGACCTAATGCCTTTCCTTGCACTGATTTCTGATAGAGGAATGTTGGGTGTTGAAGGATCTTTCTGTCTAAACAAGCATAAGATTGTACACCAAGAGAGGTAGATTAGAGAGGGGAAAGTGACTCAAAGTCAATAAGCACCATCGCACAGTTGAGATGAATTTCTGTTGCTTTTTGGGGTGGGGGGGTGGCTTGCAACCAAATGAATCCCAGTGGCTCAGTGTGTGTACCAGTGTGGTAATAGCACTGCTTCTGTCTCCCTCTTTCCCCACATAAGCCTGCTGAAATGTAACTAGTACTAGCACTCTACAATAGCTAGGAGGAACTTTGGTGCAATGTTGCAGGGCAATGAAGGGAAAGGGAGAATTTCCATCCATGCTGGCAAATGTGAAAGAAAGCATGAACTGCCTCAGCCAGTAAGCACATTGGCCCCACTAATATAAGCAGTCTCTGAAAATATTCCCAGCATGGGTGTTGTAGACCTTTTTAATTTTGTCTAAATATGCACAGGATTGTGCCTTTATGTGATCTGCAGGTGTGGCCCCTGCCATGGCAAAATCAAATGAAAGGAGAATTCACAGCCTTCAGCCTTTTTCTCTCTAAACATGCAAATGAATTTGATCTTAATGGCTAATGTTGTTAGGCAAATCCATACTAGTCTAACACTGTATTATAGGCCAATACAGGTAAAAAGGTCATAACACTTCCTGCAGTTGCTCAGTCTTAGACTGTAAAGCCTCAAGAAGTTCACCTGCTTAAGATGGAAGCAGATAATTCTGCAAAACTAAGAAGAGAGGCCTGTTCTGAATAGACAGCAAAAAGCACAATTTTGATGTCCATTTCTTGGTGATGTAATGACTTGAACACCAAATCCAAGATGGGTATAGGCCCAAATTATTGCTTTTCTAGTAGCATTAAGGAACCAATGCCAATATTATATAGTAATGCAAAATAAATCAATGGATGCATTAAACAAAAATGATATATAAATATGTCATGTTCCACCACCAGATGGCAACACTGACCTAAAAATGCATTTTTTCTTTCTACTCCCTCACCCTCTCCAGTTCCCAGAGATGAATGATATGTTGAGAGAGAAAGTAACTGGAAGGAAAACGGATCTTGCCTTTTTCCTGATCCAAAATGCTGGCTTGCTCACAGGGTTTACTGCAATATTGCTGATCACTCTGTATGCAGGAAACATTGAACTGGAGTAATGTGATAATGAAGATGTTGGTGAAGACCCTTAAGTAAATTAAAAATGGAAGAACTCTTGAACTCCATAAAGGGACTGGGAAGTCATAAAGGATTTGATGCAACACCTATTTTCATCAGCCATTTGAATCAAAACATTGATTTTAAGGATTGTGAAATCAGTTATAATTCAGTTTCCATCAACTTCTGTGAATTAGTATAATAATTTTTGCCTCGTTCCAGTGACAACTGAAAGGCAAGCATGCAGGGAGAATCTTTGCCTGAAAACGACACCATCCATTGGAAGTTGCGCATCTGTTTCAACTGGATGGAGACCTTGTATTTTTAATTGAGAAATAACCCATGATGCCTGTATCATTGTGCACTACTCCAGCCTGAACCTGATGTAGTTCACTTCCTTCCTGTTGGAATCAATGGGGAGTGGGGAAGAAAACTTACCTTCTGCAAAGAGAGGGGGTGGAGAAGGAAAAATGGAGTGGGCAGAGTTTCCTCAGCCCTTGAAGTAGGTCCCACTGATGTCAGTAAGACCTCTGAGATGACATACACAGAATTTGCACAGTAAACCTTATTTGTTTTATCCTGAATCACACTGAGTATGCGTCTACTACTCAATGCCAGTTACAAAGTATACAATATCCTCTGTCTCGGGGGATGTCAGGAGAACAAGGAGGTCTTTGGATCCTTACAGTTTGGATCCTTTCCAAAAACACCTCCTTTCTCTCCTCTTTGACAAGAGCTATGCTGTCAAAGGACCATCAGATGTGTCTATTTCCTCTGCAGTCTCATGGAGAAGGCTTGCAACATTGGACCATTCCTTTCCAAAGGTGGACTGCTCTCTCCCTTCTGAGAGAGAAATCAGAATCTTACAGCCACTGGAAGACAGGACTGCAGCTTTAGCTGTCAGGGTCATTTTCTCCTCTTCCTCCTTCCATTGCTACAATGACAATGACTACTACAGAACCTCATTGTAACTGTGCTAGGAGTTTCAAAATAGGTTTAAGTTTTTCCCTTTAGGGGAAATAAATTTAAAAATTTTAACTTGTTTCAGCAAGTTTGCCTAAATGATGCAAGGGTTCCAATTACTAATTAACACTGGATTAATTATACCACTTACAGCTTTTGATCTTTCTCTTTCAAGGGATCTGTGGGCGTATTATGAGGACTGGATTTTTTTTAATAAGTGAAAAATCTGATGCTAAAATTTCAAAAGTTTATTGATATGCATAATGCTTAAAAGACCCTTGACTTCTAAAAAGAAGGACAAAAATTTTCAAACATATTAGTATCACAGTCACTATTCAAAGCTTCTGCTTTGATTTTTGTTGCCAGAGTAGATCTTAATCGAATGACAATGACACACAATCTCTCTTTGCTGCAGTTGAACTTTAGAAAATGTCCTATGGCACACGTCATACGAATGGCTGGAACTGGAATAGTAATGATAGTTAATTGACTATTATCTCTAAATGTGCCCTATTGGGTGTGGAAATTCTCAAGTGTGCCCTTAACTCCCTCTCCCATAGTAATCATGCATTAACTTCACAGGGGAGTGCTAACTGAATGTGAGACATCACACATGTAAAAGTTCAGAGTGGCTGTTCAGCTTGGACAAACAGCCTGGATTGGGGACATGAATTGAGGTTGTCAGTTCGATATGCATGGAAACCAATCAGGCAGAATAAAAAGGAATCCCAAATGCCTAAAGGGAACATTTTTGTTGCACGATCTGTTTTGGAAAATGATTTTCCTTTATTGGGGCTGCAATGAAAATTAAAATGTATGGCATTGGTATTATTTACTATTACTCCAAAACATTTAAGAACAAATAAATTCTGTGTAGTTATGCAAATTCCACATCTGGTGGAACTCTTTAAAAGAACAATTATTGCAGTGTTTATGTAGATTTTATGACCAAATATATTTAAGTTCTATTTGAGTTCCAGCTCTTGTATTGATAAAACTAACACAGGTATGCATTGGGCAACAATACATGTTTTTTGTAGGCTCTTAAGAGCCCATTTTATTCTCTTTCTTATTAGTTTTGGTTTTATAGACATGCCCTCCCTTCTTGTGTTTTCATCAACTCAGTATGCAACCTTTCTGTCAGTCCATGTATGAAGCTAATATTTTCTTTGGCTGGAAACGGCTCTCTGGTGTCCCCAGTTGTATCTTTACTAGCCCTAGACCTGGAAATCCTTTAATTAAGGGCATTGGAGTTGGACTCTGAACAAGTGCAAAGCTCGTACTGTACCATATTGCCTTGCAGATAATATGTGCCCAGTTTAAGACACAGGTAAATTCAAGCAAGAAGAATACTATGTATTCTTGCATTAATTTCTACATACCGTATTCTATATGTTGATGGATAGGAATCTTGAGTATAATTTAGCTTAAACTAATTTTATTTACTTGCACTCCAATACCTGTGTCTGTGGGTTTTCCCAATCACTACATGTGGGTGTGAAAGCTGGACAGTGAAGAAAGCTGATGGGAAGAAAATAGATGTGTTTGAAACATGGTGCTGGAGGAGAGCTTTGTGAATAACCTGGACTTACAGAAGAGCAAGTGGGTCCTAGATCAAATCAAGCCACA